TTTTTTTTTAATCTAGATCATTTATTGATGTATTATGTGTGTCACACTTGATTGCGCAGGGGCCATGCTAATCTTCTGTCCGTCGTTCGAATTTTAATGCATGTTAGGAAGGACTAATTGTGCCGACTTTTGTTTGGGCAAATGCACAAACTGTGTGTTGTGAGGGACAGCAGGGAGGACGCAAAGCAAGCAGAGATGCAGAATGGTTCAGGGCATGGGTGCCTGATAGGCAACCCACCAACGGACGGCATCACCAACGTACGGTTCTCCAATCACTCGGACAATTTGATCGTATCTTCCTGGGATGGAAATGTGCGCCTCTACGACGTGTCTTCTAATGTTCTCCGAGGATGTTTTGCGCATGGCGGACCTGTTCTCGACTGCTGCTTCCATGACGACAACTCCGGACTCAGCGTGAGCAGCGACTGGACAGTGCGGCGCCACGACTTCGCCAATTCGCGAAGCGACATCATCGGCAAGCACGACGGCCCCGTCCGCTGCGTTGAATATTCACATTACACGGGACAAGTCTTGACTGGGAGTTGGGACAAGACGCTCCGTTGTTGGGATCCCCGTGCCCCGACCGCCCTTGAACGGACCACAGGAGTCTACGGGCTGCCGGAGAGGGTGTACTCGATGTCGGTGGTCGGGCATCGGCTGGTGATCGCCACCGCTCGCAGACATATCGTCATTTACGATATCCGAAACATGTCCCAGCCGGAGCAGAGGAAGGATTCCCCACTCAAGTTCCAGTCGCGATGCGTGCGCTGCTATCCGAACGGGACGGGTTACGCGCTCAGCTCGGTCGAAGGGCGAGTCGCGATGGAGTTCTTCGACCTTTCAGAAGCGTGGCAAGCGAAGAAGTATGCTTTCAAGTGCCACAGAAAGACCGACGCTGGTCGTGACACCGTCTACCCTGTGAACGCGATCGCCTTTCATCCTGTTTACGGCACGTTCGCGACGGGCGGATGCGACGGCTACGCCAATGTCTGGGATGGGACCAACAAGAAGAGGCTTTACCAGTTCCAGAAGTACCCGACAAGCATAGCTGCTCTGTCATTCAGCAGAGATGGACGGCTTCTGGCCGTAGCGTCGAGCTACACGTTTGAAGAAGGAGAGAAGGTCCATCCACCCGATCAGATCTTCATCCGGAATATCAACGAACAGGAGGTCAAGCCAAAGCCACGAACATATGCGGTGGTGACATGACCCATGACCACCTCCTCCCACTTTTCCCACACTTGACATCCCCTTACTCTGCCCCCCCCCCCCCCCCCCCCCCCCCCCCCACCACCCCCTTATCTCCACACCGATGCCTGGTGCCCAGGTGCCAAGCCCCTCCTCCTCCCACCTGCGATTTTGGTGTCGAACGTCAGCCGTCTTTTGTACCACAAGTAGAGGAGCCCTCCAGGGGTGAAAAAAAGGAAATGCAGTTCTAGTTGTTTATTCATTCTTTTACTCCTCTCGCTTTGTCCCCTTGCACTCGTGGAGCTGATCAAATCGTTCAGGATTTTCTTGTCCTCAGAAAAAAAAGGAATAGAACTCTTCTTTCGAGTTCTTTGTTTTTTTTTTTGTTTTTTTTTTGTTTTTTTTTTGTATTTTGCAGCCAATGTTTATAGTCACGTCGTTGCGGCTGTGGTATCTGAGATGCCAGTGTGTATTCTTTTCTGCACTTTTCACTGTTTTCGGTTCTGTGTACGTAAATTTTGCTCGATTAATATAAACCAAACAGACGGGAAAGGAAAGGGCTTTATGAAAAAAAAAGGGAAAAAAAAGGCCATGGCTGGGGTCTGGTCCCACCTACAGCGTTGAGTTTTGTCAACGCTGAGCTTTCTATCACGTGTGGCATGGTGGGACGGAGCTCTGTCGTTGATGTAAAGCGAATCTAATGATACCGAAATACAGGAGAATAACCTTATTAGATTTTGTCATTTTGTAGAATTTTTCTGTGAAGTGAAATCCGTTTTGTAGTATGCTTTGGCCCTTTTGGCTTGGGCGGGAAACCATTTTCCATTGAGAAAACTACCCTACCAAGGGTAGGGTAGGGTACATTTCTCAACTGCAGTGCCTTTCCTTTTTTTTGGTTTTTTAGACATCATTACGTCCCGAAACGGAGGAACTCTGACAGCTGTGTTTGGCTCTTTGGCATCAAACGCGTTTCCTTCTTTGGGCAAATGAATGCATTTGGCCATCCACGTTGTCCCTGTCCATTTTACAAATGGTGACCTCTTGTCCTCTCACCACGGGGAGTATCCCTTTTTCATGGAGACGTTCACTCCGACTGTTCCAGACATGTTTCATTTCTTCGAGTTACGTTATCAAAAATAAGGAGAAAAGCTGTTTCTACTACTTTCTAACGTTTTCTTTCAGTTTTTTAAATTTCTTGTTTCGAATTTATTTATGTCGAAATGGCGTCACACTGTTAAGTTTTCTAAACTCAACAACGGTAGGTGGGACCAGACCCCTGGAGAACTTGTCCGAGGATGTACGAGTGTGATCTGCGTATCCCTGTGTACAATATTCAGGATCTGTTCTTTTGACCTCTATCTCTTTTTTTTTTTTTTTTTTTTTTTTTTTTGTGTGTGTGTGTGTTTTTTTTTGTGTGTGTGTGTGTTTTTTTTTTTTTTTTTTTTTTTTTTTTTGTATTGTACGCATAGCTTACTATGTGATGACTCCGTTTATTAACGACCTGGTCGAACGTCGTATATACATTCGCTGCAACCCGTAGTGCAAAAACGTTTTCCAAATATACAAGGCGTTTGGCATCCGGAGTCAATTGGGACGGGTACTAGTAGGGGCTGCTCTTACCAACCCCCCTAGTAGAGGTCGCAGGCTGTGTTAAAGAAAAGAAAAAAAAAGAAAAGGGGTGTTTGGCATCCAGTCATCACTCCCGAGCGAGACCTGAAACATACCAACAGGCTACCTCGAGTTCGGAGATGGAATGAAGCGATAACATGAAAACATGAAGCAACGAGTGAGATGGAAAAGACAGCGCGCGAATTACAGCAAAGTAAGCAACATGCAGATAAAAGGGAAAAAAGGAGATTTTCTCAATTAATTGGGAAAAATACACCACCAGGAAGGTCCCAGCAAAAACAAAAAAATAAAATAAAATATATATATATATATATTTCTATTTGACGATATATATATATATATAGACTACCAGAGTTGCCTGGGATGACTTGCCCGCCGGGCCAAAAAAAAA